GTTATTTTATTTTCCCATTTGCTTGTCATGCTTGAGTCATTTGGTCTGGATTTGCTTGCCCAGGATGCAGCAAGTGATTTTCTATGGATATCATTCCTTTGCCCATTGTCATGCTGTGTTGGGTTATGGATATATGGGGAATGTTTTGTGACCAAATTAAATGATCTTTGATCTCGTTCGTCTCTAATTCTATGGAATGTGTAAAGTATGAGAAACTTTAATTGTAGTAGGTGGTAAGGAGAGACCCACGCTGGTGTATTGGTTAAGGCACTGAACTAGAAATTGGAAGATCATGACTTCTGCAGTAGTCCTGCCTTAGGCACAAAGCCAGCTGACCTTGGGCCAGTCACACTCTTTCAGCCATCAGAAGGAGGCAATGGCAAGCCACTACTGAGATCTGGCCAAGAAAACCACGGGGACTAGTGTAGGCAGTTGCCAGAAGAAAGGATTGACTCAAAGAGACATGCACAAGCACACTCACATAAAATAGTAAGAAGCAATTTAAAGGCTTTGCCATTTGTCTTTTTTAGTTGAAGTGATTAGCTTTCTTTTGTTCTGAAACTCTGAGCTTATTTCTTGCTTACAACATCTCAAATTTATTTCTCTGTCAACATTTCTTCATTTTTTTCAGCATGTTTAAATATTGATAGCTATTTGTGATGCTATTGATCTCCCCTTTGTTTTTATCATCTTTTTCGTGTGTTTAGGAATTTTAAGTCTAGATCACAGAAGCTGTAAAATGAAGCTGAAAGCTAGACTCAAAAACAATACGGGGAGTTTCTAAAAGGTTAATTTTCAAATATAAAAAAAAAGGTGAACTCTGCCTATGATTTAGACCAGGGGTAGGCATGGCTGGTTCAGGAATTCTGGGAGTTGAAGTCCACAAGTCATAAAAGAGCCAAGGTTGCCTACCCCTGATTTAGACCATCATTTCTCAACTTTGGCAGCTTGAAGATGTTTGGACTTCAACTCCCAGAATTCCTCAACAGGCCTGCTATATTGGGGCTGGAGATGCTGGTTGGAGAATTCTGGGAGTTGGTCCACATATCTTCAAGATGCCAGAGTTGAGAAACACTGTTTAGATTATAAATAACACAGGCAATATAACCTCATTATGCTTTTCTCAGTAGAGTTCAGATAACGAGACAGGGCTGAGATCTTGATAATAACAATTCTTAATTTAGATCATGTTTTGTTCTAAAACAGACTGATCCGGTTGTTTCTTTTGGAAAGATCTTCTGCTAAAGAAATGGAAAGCAAGAAAAGAGGAAAAGGATTTAAGCTTTTTATAGTTTTGAAAGTATATCAACAATATATTCTTTTTTTTTCAAATTTCAGAGGAGATACCATACATGTTTATAAAGACAAGAAACTAGAAATCTTCAAGGTTTTTCTATCAATTATACAATGGTTTGTAAAGCATTTTAGGATTTTTTTTGTATATAATTTTAATTAAATCTTTTAAACAAGAAATTTAACTTCTTAAACAAGAAGATAAACACTAATACAATAATATAAAGTAAAGAAGAAAAAAATCAAAAAGTGCAAGAAAAGAAAATTAGAAAAAAATAAAAAAATAAAGGTGGCTTCTGATGTTTTTCACAGCAGTTATAAAAATAAATAAAAACAAATTAGTACAAATAACCTATATTTCTAAAGTTACATCATATTACTTTTCTTTCTGTAATCTATTCTATCTAATTATTGAAACCATAAGCCACAAATTTATTTTTTATTTTTATGCAAAAATCTATAAGAGACTTCCAGTCACCAGTAAATATAAATAATGTTTTTTTTTCTGTAATCAAAGAAATCAGTTTATAGCTCTGGAAATTTCAATATAAATTAGTTTATATACTTAAACTCCCATTTTTTGTATTTAAATTAATTTACTTAATATTAGGGGGAAATCCTTATTTTCCCTCCCTGTTAAGCAAACTGACTTTAATAGTAATAATTTAATTGTATAACATAATCTGAATATATATATATGCAAGATTACTTTATTTAGTAAAGGAGGCATGAGGTTTGTAAACTTCTTTCCTTTTTTCTTTGTGAATAATAAATCAAATAAATAAAAATAAAATAATCCAACTCAACCATAGAACTAAACTAGATAATTGCAGAGGGTGCCAAAAATTCCAGGCACCTGTTACTCAACCTTGGGTAAAATCACCTCTTATCTTTCAGTGGGAAGCATGTTGCAGTTACCCATATATTAGCATGTTATTATCTCTGCGTTCATTGATTGTAATCTAAAGCCTTCTGATCTACAAGGTCATAAACATATTTATTAAAAGGGAGAGCTAAAAAAGCAGGACACGTTGATCACTGGATGTATTTTTGTTATGGATACTCACCATACAGTACAATACAAACTGTTATATTGTATGTAAGAGAGTTAATCAGTAATGAAGGTCAGGTGCTTAAGCCACAGAGCTCAGTCCTGTGTGTGAAAGGACCTCTGGCATAAATTTGATATAAAAACAAATAACAAATAAAAAGCATGACATTGTCCATGTTCAGTTAGAATGGGAAATGAAAACTGAAAATATGCAGGTGGGCATAGTCTTCACCATCGTGGAAAGCTATATTTTATTTCTGAATAGAAAGGAAGAGTATAAATACATTGGTATTAAAATATATTTTTAATTTTAAATCAATACATTCAAATTTATATTATTAGAAGCAAATTAGATGCAGATCAATAAAATGAGTGAATATAGTGGAGAAAGTTCTAATTCTGTATTATTCCTAAGTATACTTAATCATTCTCTAGTTTGCATTTTTTAACCTGATGAACTCTAATTTCACCTGAGGCTCACTTCCATTTTTGCTGGCAGTGACCAAAGCTAAATTGGTGAGGTCCCATGCTCACCCCATTACAGCATCTACCTTTGCTTCTATGTGAAAACCACTTTTGTATTTTTTGATAGAAACTGAAAGAAATGCTACATTAATTCTGGGGTTTGACTATTTGAAATGTTTATGCTTACAGAAATACTGGGTACTATTGAATTTTAGATTGCAAGGTTAATGTATTTTATATTTGTAACTGCATCAAAGAAAGTTGAAAGCTATTTGTTCTTTATTTCTTTTCATCTTTATTCCTCTGCACCTTCCCTTCCCCTATCTTTTTCCTTCTTAATATTTTTTTGTTATTTATATTTTCTCTCTTGTAGAATTTTAATAAAGTATATTAAGAAACCTCATTACTGCTCATCATTATGTTTGAACTACTTCGCAGGGTATTTTACTGTCTTGAATTATATGTAACCTTTCCCTGTAAGCACAATTCTAGATGATAAGAAAAGAGTCATTGTAGCATTTATAATTAAAAGATGAAAAATGAATACTGTATATTGGATATAATGGCCTGATTTGGACACAAAATAGTTTGCATTTAATTAGGTATGTGTAAATGGAATTTGTAGGTTTAACGGTGTTCTGTGCTCACCATAATTTAAGTATTTAGTAGCCAACAGAGATCCATAAAGCACAAATAATGATAGGTCCTTTTGGAAAGAGAGAGGTTGATAGGTTATTTCAGTAAACATGTGGGGATTTTTTCAAGTAATTTCTGATTGGAGTTTTTTTTTTAATAAAGAGTTGCTTGGGAAAGGAATGCATTTTTTTTTTAATAAAGAAGGAACAGTAAGGTTAATATTGCCATGCCTTTCTCCATATTTCTCTTTACCGCATTTGGAACCTTGAATAAAGTTTTGGAAAGTCTGAGATAGAGGAATGGTAGTGTTAGGAAGGGTTAAATTAAATTACTTAAAACAATTTAAAATGGGTTATTTACCTTTTTATGATGTCTGATAATTTTTCATATTTAATTTTCCTCGACTTATATTTTTATAAGGAGGAGGGCATTTCCGTATTTTAAGGCAAACATAGTGCTTTATCAACTATAACACTAATTGCCTCTTCTGTGGCAGCACTTTTCCTATGGAACACTCTTTCCCCTGAAGTTCGGCAGGTCTCCCACATTTTTAGCCTTCCAAAAGGCTTTAAAGACCCAGTTTTCCCATCAAACATTTGGAAAAGATCAGATGATGGCATGTTAGCACAGATTGGCACCAGGCTTTTGTTGTTTAAATGATTTATGTTTTAACTGGTTGTGCTTTATAGTTTTAAAAATGATTTTACATGTCTTCTAATCTTGGATTGAGAGCTGCCCAGAGTTGGTTAAAACATGGATGCCAATGTAAAATGTTATAAATAAATAAAGTCTAATCTTCATGATTGCTGCTTTGGGGGCAGGAAATTACCCATCATGTTTCTAGCCATGCTTCTGTTCTCAACCTTGACAATTTTAAGGCATGTGGACTTCAACTCCCAGAATTCCACAGCCAGCATTGCTGGCTGTGGAATTCTGGGAGTTGAAGTCCACATGCCTTAAAATTGTCAAGGTTGAGAAACACTGTTTTCTATGTATTAGGGGACCATGTTAATTCCATAACATACTGTATGAATAAAGCAAAGCTATAAATAATAAGAAAATATATGTTCTTTAATTCTTGAGTACAAGTTAAGCATTATTTACTGAACACTCATCTTATTTTTGAAATACAGATTTAATTATATGACCTGGAGAATTTTCTAGCCATGCAAGGTTTCATCAGTTTTTAACACTGTGCTCCTATAGTGTAATATGGTATTTTTTAGCATTTCCACTTTTCATTTCCTCTTTGGATACTAATAGAAATGAATATAAATATGAAGACTTAAAAAAATATTACTAAGTTTAGTGAGTGGGATTTGCAATTTATATAGTTCTCCCAGGTGTTGGTGCCATATTGTGATTTGCACAACAATAACGTTATTGCTTTATTTTCAGATCTCGGACCTGGAGAATTGATTTCGATGAAAGTGTTGCCTTCTGGAAGAGTGCTGTGAAGCTGTCTGCCAACATTTCCAACTGAAAATAAATGCTAGGCATCCTACTTAAGAGAAGAATAGTTTCTTATTAAGTAGTACCTCACAGTAAAATCAAAATGTATGGAAGTGCAAGAACAATCAGTAACCTGGAAGGCAGTCCTGCCAGATCTCCACGTTTGCCACGATCGCCTCGTCTGGGCCATCGGCGAACAAGTAGTGGAGGAGGTGGAGGGACAGGTAAGACTTTATCAATGGAGAACATTCAGTCACTTAATGCTGCCTATGCAACATCTGGACCAATGTATCTGAGTGACCATGAAGGTGTGGCATCTACTACTTTTCCAAAGGGCACAATGACTCTTGGAAGGGCTACTAATCGAGCTGTATATGGTGGACGAGTTACAGCAATGGGGAGCAGCCCTAATATTGCTTCTGCTGGCCTTTCCCATTCAGATCTCCTTTCTTATACTGATCAGCATGGAGGGTTGACCACCTCCTCACATCATCATCATCATCATCATCAAATTCCTTCCATGCTGAGGCAAGTAAGAGACAGCACCATGCTAGATTTACAGGCTCAACTGAAGGAGTTACAAAGAGAAAATGAACTTCTAAGGAAAGAGCTAGACATCAAGGATAGCAAGCTTGGATCTTCCATGAATAGCATCAAGACCTTCTGGAGTCCAGAGCTTAAAAAAGAAAGAGTCTTGCGCAAAGAGGAAGCAGCCAGAATGTCTGTTTTGAAAGAACAAATGAGGGTTTCTCATGAGGAGAATCAGGTAAGCAATGAACAGGAAATAATGACATACTGTACATCAATTGAGCAGCATGTCTTAATTTACTTACATGGTTATTCCTTAGTGATATTTCTTGTTCCTATGACATCAGAAAAACTGGATATAGTTTTAATATCTTTGATGTGGTTGCCATCTATATTGCTATAGATACTGGATCACTCCCTAGTTTGCATTATTTTCAATAACTTCTATAAATCCATAAATATACATCTTCACCAGGTTAAGGGAACTTACTCAGAAATAGGTGTCTGCTGGGCAGTTAGAACTGTTCTTTTATGTAAAAAAAAAGACAAATCATGATAGTGGACTTTGAATTGTGTCAATTACTTTCCATTTCATTCTAGATTTTGAAGTGGCTTAGTAAATGATCTCTTATGATTAATGGCCTATGTCAGTGATGGCAAACCTATAACATGCAATTCTTGGAAAGGGGACACACCATGATGTTTTGGGTGACAAACCAGAGTTCAACATCTGTCAAAAACTATTTTTGAAAACACCCCCTGTTCTTGTGTGGTTTTCCAAATTAGTATAAGAATGGGGTGTGCTGTTGTGTGACTTTTAGAGTCTCCAAAAACCATGTAAGAACAGGGGGTGCTTTGGTGTGGTTTTTGGAGGCCCCGGGCCACAGAAGACTATTCTGCAAGAGTGCTGCAGGAATTTTGTTCTGCAAGAAGAAAAGCCTTGTATGACCTAGAGCAATCTCAGGTAGACCACAGGTCCTGTCAACTGAAAGAGAACACTGCCTGAAGGTAAAAGAATGTGGTAAATCCTGGGGGCCACTGGACTGCAGGGCAATTGCACCATTCTCTGAGGTTTTCCCCCTTGGACAATAGCATGAGGTGGCCTTTTTGAACAGCAGTGCTGGTAATAGGGCTGAAGTGGAGGCCCAGGCCTTCACTTCAGACCCAGCCTTGACATTGCCACCAGGTGCTACTGTTCAAGGTGACCTAGATGGCAGTGGGGGGGGGCAGATATAGAGAACTGCTTCTCTTTTGTTTGGGTATGTGTAGCAGAACAAGTTCTGAAGTTTTGACTGAAGTTTTGACATGCCAAACCCAAAGGTTTCACCATCCTATGGTTATAAAAACCGAAGTTTCATCTGAATTAATATTAAAACAAATATATGTGTAACTTATAAGGAGGGAAGCACTCCCTTAGATAATGAGATCTGAAGGATTTAAAACTTAATCAGTATACTAAATTAAATTTTGAAAATAGACTGGCAACTTATGTAGATTTTTTTTTATCATAGTAACACATTGGTGAAATTAGTTGAAATCACCTAATCCTTTTCCTGGACACCCCTTTATAGAGAGTACTGCAGTAATCTGAACATGATGTGGCCCAGGCAGGGATAACTATAACCAGATTCAGACTGATGTGGTGTGTTAATCAAAGTTGCGTCAGATCACAAGAATAATTGTTGCTAAATTAGATAGATGTAGGAGATGAGCAGGCTGAGCTGGAAGGTGGAGTCAAATGTGTCATCAGTTTAGAATCCTTGTGCTTCCACAAGTGACCAAGTCCAGCCCTCCGTGAATTCTGTTGATCCTTATCTAGTGCCAATTTAGCTGTGATCATTAGTTGATCAGATTCTTGTATATGGGTAAAGATAAAGGTTTCCCCTGTCCAGTCATGTCCGCCCTTATAGTATAATTAGAAATACAGGAAGTCCTTGATTTATGACCATTTGTTTAGCAATCTCTGGAAGTTACCATGTGCTGAAAAAAAATGACTTACACTTACATCGATCCTCACACTTATGACCATCGCAGTGTCCCCACAGTCACATGAACAAAATTCAGGTGCTTGGCAACTGGTATGTAATATGATTGCAGTGCCCTGGGGTTGTGATCGCCATTTGCAGCCTCCCCAGGGGGCTTCCAACAAGAAAAGTCAATAGGGGAATCCAGATTTGCTTAACGGTCATGGGATTCACTTAATGACCATGACAAAAAGGTTGTAAAATAGGGTGCACCTCATTTAATGACTGCATTACTCAGCAAAGGAAATTCTAGTCCAGACATGTCAAACTCGCAACGTCATGTGACGTTGCGTAACGTATCGGGACAGTTTTGCCATTGATGGCAATGGGGTGGGCGCGGCTTCTGTGTGATGCCTCCAGCCCGTGGGCTGTCAGTTTGACACCCCTGTTCTAGACCAATGGTGATCATAAGTCACTGACTACATATATATGCATGTTGCCCTCCCATACAATTTTTTCATTCAATATAGCACTACAGTAAATAGCACTCTCTCTTGTCCCTGGTATGCTAATTATATAAGAGCTTGGGTGAGAAAGAGATGCAGTGCTTTCTCAGGAACAAAAATGTTGCAATCACTATTGGAAAAAATGCAATTTTCTCAGAGCTGAAATATTATTATAGCTTTGCTCAACAATTCTCTTTGGTGAATGGAATTATAAGCGTTAAACCATCGCATGGAAAGTCCTTCAATAAAATCAAGTAAAAACCCAACTAAAATATAATCTTGATTCAGATTTCTACTGTACCAAACTAGTTAAGCTATATGTTAAAACAAAATGTTAACATGAAGAGTGTCGAACCAGTCTTCAGTATTGTTAATGCTTAGTACTTCTTGGGAGTTTTTCTTTCTTTCTGCAGCGGTTTAGCTCTTATGTTGTTACAGAATACTTATAAAATATATATGCTTTACTCATAGTTGTTAGTGCTTTGGTCTGTACAATTTTCAAATGCAGAAAGGAAATAATCCATAAGAGCATCTGTGGGAAGGCAATTCTCCCTTTTGAAGACAATTTGACTATGAAAGTCAATGTTTCACTTTTATCTCCATGAGGTTCTATGTGACAAAGGAGTTGTGTTGTAAGAACCAGCCTTACCAGAGCTTGATAGAAGGAGGGAGAAAAGCAATAGGGGAGAGAAACAAGCTAATCTCCCACTGCTAAATATGTGAAGTCTGATTGGGAGGTACCAAATCCAAAGATCATCCCACTCCCAGTCATTTCTTTGCCATGCTTTTCAATCATACCTAGAAGGAAAAATCAAAGCATTCCAACTAGAAAAACTCTACCCTTGGTTTGCATAGTAACTAAGATAGTTATTTTATTATCCTTCATATTAATATATAGTATGAGCCCATTTTTGAGATTATGGATAGGATTGTCTAATAGACTCTTTAAATTATTGGCTGGGTTTACTGCCAGAATGTGATATCCTTATTTGTGCATCAGTGTGCCGTGTGAACTGAACTTCTAAATAATGATTTATGATTTAGGGAGTTACATAATTGTGGCTTGGAATATGCCACTCAGTCGCCTATTGAAAAAAAAAGAATAGTTAACTCCAGAGAGAGGTCTGCTGTTTGTTGAAAAATATTGTGGTACTATTTTTGTACATATTTTTTGTACATAATCATTTTCTGAACAGAAATTAGAAATGGAGATAAAATATGTACGAAGGGTTAGATTGGAAGGATCTTCTGGCAAACTTTTCTAACCTGATTCATTTGCTTGGAGATGTTTCCTTATCTGACTAGGAAACACCACCAGTGCTAGTGATTGTGCCATTTATTCTCTGTTTATATATAGTAGCATGTGCTGCCAGTATTGGTGGGGATGTGGTTTTCTTCTTGGTAGTTCCTCCTTTAGGGCAGGAGTAGGAAACCTTGGCTCTTTTATGACTCTGGACTTCAACTCCCAGAATTCCTGAGCCAGCTATGCTGGCTCAGGAATTCTGGGAGTTGAAGTCCATGAGTCATAAAAGAGCCAAGGTTGGCTACCCCTGCTTTAGGGTATTATTATTTTCTGCTTGATTGCTTATCAGGTGTTAATCTCTATTCTCTGGATGTTGGCTACTGAAGAGGGTGTGTTCTGCTCTTTTTGTTTCCTTCTTAGGTTTTTTTTAATTACCTCCTTTTTTCAAAATGTTTTATTAATTTTCTGTTATTACATTTGATTAGTGCTTAATAAACATCATGTTGTCTGAGTTAATTTGTTTGCTTAATAATACAAGTTACATTCTTAGTCCCTACCCTTTTTTCCAACCACTGACAAAATAAATTCCATGTTTGAAAATATTCTGTATCTTCTTTCCCTTTGATCCTCAATGTAAGTCTGTCCATTACAGCACAGTCCAATATCTTCTTGATTATCTCTTCGTCTAGTGGTGTTTCTTCATTCTTCCAGTGCTGAGCAAATAACAATCCTCGCCGCTGTTAGTACATGCAATGTTAAATATACACTTTGCTTATCAAATTTTTCTGGTATTATACCTAGTAAGAAAAGTTCAGGTTTAAAATCTACATGTTTTCCTAACATCTTTTCTAGCCAAGTGTGTATTTTTGTCCAATTTTTTTTTGCTTTAACACAGGTCCACCACAAATGGTAATATATGACAGATTTTGTGTTACATTTCCAACATTTACTAGACATATTTTTAAACATTTTTGCTAATCTAACAGGTGGTAAGTGCCATCTATAAAACATTTTATATAAGTTTTCTTTATAAGAAAACTTATAAAGTTTTTTTTACCATTGTCAATTTATAATTTCTTTCCCAAAGATTTTGCCATTTCTCTAATTCTATATTATATCCAAAGTTTTTTTGCCCATTGCATCATTGTATCTTTCACTTGTTCATCCTCCATTTTCAAATTTAATAGAAAGTTATAGTTTCTTAATCAGTTTTTCATCAGAGGTCAACAATATCTGATCAAACATTGTTTGTTCTTTATAAAAGCCATCTATTTTCACATCTTTATCACATCTCAATTGCATTTGCAATTGAGGCCACCATGATAATTCAATACCCTAGTCTAAAAGCTCTTGGTTAGATTTTAGTTTCCCTTCAGTATCCAAAATGTCCTTATATGTCTTTTTTCATATTGCACTAGGTTTATTACCTTTTTTGAATGATGTGTAAATATGGTTCATCACTATGGCTGATTTGTTTGAATGCCAAGCTTCCAGGAATTCCCTAGCATTTTGGGATTTAGTTGGT